GTGTGTATAATATATATGAATATATATTATATATATATATATATATATATATTATATATATATATATATATAGATAGATAGATAGATAAATATAGATAGATAGATAAATATGTATGTACGTACATGCATATACATGCATGTATATAATATATATATATATATATATATATATATATATATATATATATATATATATATATATATATGTATATATATATATATATATATATATATATATATATTATATATATATATATAATATATATATAAATGTGTCTGTATGTGTTGTGTGTGTGTGTATAGATATAGATATATAGATATAGATAGATGTATGTATATAATTTTATATATGTATATGTGTATATACATATATATACATATATACACATACACCTATATGTGTGTATGTATGTAAATATATATAAATATATATATATATATATATATATATATATATGCATATATATATAAATATATATATATATATATATATATATATATATATATATATATATATATATATATAATATATATATAAGCAAATATACACATATATCTAAATCATACACGCTCGCACACACGTGACTGCCGAGCAAGTAAATAGACAGACAGACTGAGAGAAAGCAGGGGCAGCAGTGAATCACGTGCTAAATGTCGCACACACGAAGGGCAGCTCCCGTGGCAGACGAGGGCGACTCCGGGACCCCAGACGGAGACCCCAGCGGAGGCGTATTTGCTTTGGTGACGCAAGCCGCCGCCGATGAAGAGAAACCCGTGAAGTGTCTCGGATGTTGATGGAGCCAGAAATTACGCAAAGTTTACGGGAGAAAGTGAGGATATCCCTCGGCGGCCGCCGGGCGCGGGCACAGAAGCCACGCTTGGCTGAGTCTGGAAAAGAAAGTACGAGAGCCTTCGGGAGGCGCTGAGGATCTCTCCTTTGTGCTGCAGGAATCCTTTTTATCTTGGCCGTGATGCCAGGCTGGACTGAATGTATTTTGGGAGAATCATACTGTGTACTGATCAAACATTCTCATCGGCAAGAAAGAAGGGCGTGGAGATAGCGCGAGCGAGACCAAGAAAAGTCGATCTTTGGAGACAGGGCAACGCAAGCTAGGAATCGCTTTGCACAATGGCAGCGAACAGGAGCTTGGAAGCACTACGACCCAAGCGTCGCCAGCCGCCCTTTGGAGATGGTCTCTGCGGATGAGAGGAGATGGGCTGCCCACGGCGGCCCCGAAGAAAGCAGAGACGGAGGGGAGAAACCGCAAGTGACCGAGCAATGTGTTTTCTATTAGTCCGCCTCAGATAGATGGTTTCTCCAGAAGACATGTGGTGGATGCCGGACCATTTGCCGTAACGACCGCTATACTGTAAATATCCGCGGGTTTTTCGTCCAATTTGCAGCAAGACGGCTGTTAATTGCTTTTCCCAAAGCATTTTTGTACATTGGAGTCCTCTGGCTAATGGAAATACTGCAACTGTTCTCACAAACACTTACACCCACCCACCTTGTCATATTTTGTAGCCCGGAGGAGAGGGGCAATTTTTCACTCCCCCCCCCCCCCCAGACTACAGTTGGTGTTTCTGCTTTCCTATGCTCTTCCTTGTGTTCCATTTTAACGCCGTTTGGCAAATCATAAGCATATCTGTGTTCCGCGCACGCCGCTTAATGAATGCGTGGGCTGCTATTCTGTAGACCTTTGACTCTTGCTTTGACATAAACACATATTGTTATTCCTGGCTGTTGCACGACGCTGAGTTAAAAAAAACACCCAAGTAATATAACCTGGATTGCATATGAATACCTAAATGGTTGTTAAACATGCATATTCATTTCACTGCGCACGAATGCAATATCATGCGCGCAGGTTACCTGCATCTGCTGATGACCTGGCCGTCGCCGCAGGCGCCCTCTGCGTCCGCGGCAGATTCCTCCAGTTCATTGCAGTCCCGGAATGTAAATCTAATGCTGTTAATATTATCATTACGCAGTAATTCGCGCCGGCGAACGTGTAACAAAGATACCGCTAAAGTTAAGCAATATAGAATTTTATATTCAGATAATTTACGGGACCACAGCAGCAAGTATGACACATCGACTTTTCCTTACCCCGCGGCGACAGACTTAGATTGCTGACAAAAGCAATCATCGAGGTTATTTGACTTAACATAACGTGAGTTTTCCTTTTTGGAGAGCATCCAAGGCTCCAAGATAACCATCTGGGCCTACAGGAACGTTTTTTCCGTCCTTGAAACCAAGCGAGAGTGGGTGGGCGGAGCTCCTCAGTCCGAACGCTATATAAGCTTCGGCCGCTCCGTCGACGGCAATATCAGTGCAACTCCTTCGCTGAAGACATGAAGCTCCTCCTGCTGGTACGTGCGTGTGTGTGATCTGTGACTCTGGGCGCGACGCTTGCTCTCAGTGGCCTTCTGTGCAAACAACTCGTTTTTTTTCGGTTTACCGTAATCGACTCACGTTGACACCGTGACACAAATAAACACGCATAATCACATATCCACGTGGATGTGGGTATATGAGTACAAAAACACATATATACATAACTATAAACCTTTGGTGAATCTAAGATGTTTAGGAGGGGATGAGGTCGTTATATATATATATATATATATATATATATATATATATATATATATATATATATATATATATATATATTAAATATATGTATAAACACACACATACACACACAGTATACATACATACATATATATAATATATATATATATATTTTTATTCATTTATACACACACACACACACACACACACACACACACACACACACGGCGCGCCGCACACATATATACATATAAATAATTGGCCGAATGTCCGAGCCCCTTATTACGAAGTAGGTTTTCGAGATGCAAACGGTTGCCTTCATTTTTCTTATATGCATTGCAATACTTCCCAGTGTCTTGTGTTCTAATTACCGAACAAAACGATGTAAAAGCTCGATGAAAATCGTAAGGTTTCGTTCTGTGTTCAATCTAGCCAGTGCTGCATTCAACCTTTTTCCTTCTCAGGCGTGGTCTGGCCCCGCGGGGAGACCGCGTGCTTGGAGACCTCAATGCTTGCTCTAAGATAACCTCTGATGCCCATTCATGGCGACAGCGAGTTTCCGCTCAGGTCCCTCTATATGGTTTTATTCTGTTTCTCTTGGTCGTCAGACATGGACTGGATATTGTTTTCATTCGAGGAAACAAAGAGCACGATAGAGTATCTGCAACTGTCTGCTGAAAAGATTTCGAATTGTGTTGTCGACGGCTGTCGACGTCATAAACTTCAAGTGGACTGGACGGTTCACGTCAATCATCATGGCCTTTTCCTGCAAACAAAACAAATTTCTTTCCGACCAATGACAAAAGTAGACAAAATCAGGAGGACTTTGAACCCATATAGTGAGGCATAAGTGACACTGTGTGAAGCTTCTTTTAAGATAACATGTAAACCCGTGCTTTCTTCGTCTATCCAAGCTGTCAATTTCAATTATTTTCGGAAAATTAAATGAATGTCCTAGTTTCCCCGTGGCTGCAGAATTACACCATAGTTAAAAACTTCAATGGAGAAAGTAACGAGGACGCCACAACGGTTTCTCGGACTGACGCGGGAGAAATTAGGAAAACTGGAGGACGGGAAACATCGTCCGAATATTTTTAGCCTGAAGAGAACATTCGTAATTCAATGGTGTGTTTATTGCTGCGTGTGGAATACAGGCTTAAATTATGTAGCAGTATCGGACATTTTCATGATTCCATTATTTATTTTTCGTTTTATGATTAAAAACCTGTGTATGTTTTAATATCTTTTTAATGAAACTGGAAATCTCTTTATAATAAACCTTTTCATGCAACTCCACAGACACGAAAATGGCAGAAATACATGTGCACAAGCACGCACTTTTTCTGTCTCCACCAATCACATACACAGTCCTACACCTCCTTAGCGTGCGTTTTTTAAGATTTCCAGACACATTCACACATTTTCCCCGCCCATTTAACGCGGCCATGTGCTCACCCCGAGGACTGCGGCAGATGCTCCATGATTAACAGCCATTAAAGCGCAAACGGTTCGCCCATTCGACCCTCACTTTCTCCGGCTTTCTCGGGTGGTGCTGACAGGTGCTTCTCTCTCTTTCTCTTTCTTTCTTTCTTTCTTTCTCTCTCTCTCTCTCTCTCTCTCTCTCTCTCTCTCTCTCTCTCTCTCTCTCTCTCTCTCTCTCTCTCTCTCTCCCCGCCCTTCGCTGGCCGCACGTGGCAGGCTTCCGCTTCAGACACGTCGAAGATGTCTGGCAATTTGTCAAAGTTCTTCCAACGCTTAAGTAGATTTCAGATGATATCAGTCTTGCATATATTATTTGAGACATCGCTTTCTCGATGTCGGTTGAGACCTAATTTGTTCTTGCTGGACGTAACCACATTTTTTTTACGGCGCCTTTGCTTATCAACGGGACAAACTGCTCTTGGCTATCGCATCACCTGTGTCGTCTGTTTCCTGGCC